ACCTTGGGGGCCTGCGTTTGGAAGGGAGACCTTGGGGGCCTGCGTTTGGAAGGGAGTGGATGGAATGTTGAAGGCTGGATGTACGATATATCAAGGGCTGAGGAGGCTTTGGGGGGCTTGTACCAGGCAGGAGAGACAGTGGAGAAGGGGGATAGCCGGGTGGCGGGAGGTAGAGGGAGAGCGGAGCGTCCAGAAGGACGGAGGACGGAGATGGAATAAATGTGAACGATTGAGATAATAATACCACCAAGGCTTTGCAACTAAAAGCCATCGAAACGACAGAACGATACCTAAGCTCTCTAAATCGGAGAGTGACCGGAACCCGCAAGAAGCTCTTAAGCCTCCTTCTGCTTGCCGGACGTCTGTTTTTTTTTCTTTTTCAAGTAGAAGTACCCGGATTTCTCCCTCGTCGCCTCCTATCGAACATCCTCCTCGGCGACGCCAGGAAGACCAGGGGGGTGCGTGATCCATTCCTCCCTTTCCCATCCCATTGGCTCCCTCCCTACGTCCCCAGACCTCTTCCTACATGATTATTCTCCTCCGTGCATCGCGAGAAAGAGGCATATGGCGAGACTCCACTACCCTTGGGCCCTGTTGCATGTAGGCCGAGACCGTTATTTCCAAAACCTACCGGCTTTCCTCTCCCTCCCTTCTCCCCTTCTTCCCCCTCGCTCCCTCCCTCGTTCACTTACGGTTGTTTCTGGATCTTGGATACATCGGTGCCCTGCAACGGGGTGCCGAAGAGACGCAGCATGGAGAGGGCCGTGTAGTCCGCGCCGTTGTTGTTCTCCACGAAAATGGTCAAGGACGAGACCCGTTGGAACTTGACAAATTTTAATAGAGTGACCTGAACGAAAATAGAAGGTGAGCACGACGATGCAAATTTTCAAATTTTGCATTCTCTTCCATGCAGCCGGCTTCCATACTCCCTTCTCCCTCGCCTCTCTACCTCCCTTCCTCCCCTCCTTACGATCTTTTCCGCCTTTTCTTTGCTTCTCGCCCCTGCCCTCCCCTGCCCATTTCACATTCTCTTCCCTCTCCTTCCTTTCTCATCACCTTTTCTGCCTTGTAGTCCTCTTCCGTCAATTCTAGCACTTGCGTGGGCTCAATGTTTTCAGCGTCGTCGAACGAGAAAGAAGTCTTATTCAGGTACAGCTTTACAGTGGCAGGCGCGGCCTCTGGATCAAGACACGAGGTGGGTGCAGTGAGAAGATGGATATATAGTCCTTCAAGACACGAGAGGAATTGCAAAATCACACCGACTCCTCCTAGATGGGCGAGGTCACAGACGCAGACACAAATATGCATCCCTACAATCCTGTGTACCATGCGATCCCGGTCTTTCCATAATTATTTGACTGCATGCATGTGAGTAGTTTTACTTTCCGTAGATGCGGCATTCCATCCACGTACTCACCCATCTCCGGAGCGACCAGATTGAGGCTGTGGACTTTAACGGCCTCGGAAAATACAAGGTGCAAAATTAACTGTTCATCTGTGTCCGATCGAAGTTGGAGGCGGTCATCGCCCATGAATAAATTTTCCCATGGGTACTTAGGGTCCTGTAACGTTGTGGTGGTTGAGGTGAGAGACAGACAATCCGTGTTGGGGACTGCACGTCGAGTGTGGTCCGTGAAGGAATCCTCAGAACAATACCGGCATCGTTCGCATCAAAAGACGGTGCATCATGAATCAAGGAGTAAATTTTGAGAATGTCTTTTTCGTCGAAGATCATGCCTCTCCCCTTTTTACTTGTTGTAGCAGCTTTCTCCCTCATCCATGACGACGTACCGCATTCAGCACGAAGCACTCAGGCTTGGCAATTTTATCTGTAATATCTACAATCTCATTCGATGGAGGCGGAGGTGGAGCTGGAGGACCTTCACTTGACATGGTACCTGTTTAAGGCGAGATTGATGACATGTATCATTCGCCTTTGCTTTGCATCGAGTCGCTACCTGAGGCAGATGAAAGAAGGACCGCATGGAAAGGCATGACAGACCAGGCAATCAGCCAAGAACTGTCGAGATAGTAGACCAGTGGGTTCATATTTTCCACCTTCTCCATATCCCCATCATTTTTCATCAAGTTCCCTCACCATCGTCCCATAAACTTTTGCATTCGCCTATCGAGGTCTCCGCGGACTGGACGGATGACTCCAAAATTCAAATTCGGCGATCTTCTTTTAACGGATCGGGAATTCCGTTAAATTGAACCGCTTCGATGCTCTACCTGCATTTGGAACGCAGGATAATGTTGTTTCGTGTCGAAATTTGAGTACCTGCACAGTTTTGATCACAGTTTATCTGTATTCCAACTGGTCCATCCAAAAACAGCTCCCTTTAGCCACCGTGTGGCCGGAGCTTCGTGTGCAATAAAATCAGAGAAGTATCCTCTGGGCCTACGATCGATCTAGGTACACGACTCGCCGTCGAAGTTGCACTCCCTACGCCACAGGTACGTACCTAAATAACAATCGCTGTCAGACGTACTCTCGTGTCGCGCCGTGCTAAGCTGATTGCACCCTTCGCCTGGCATTCCTCTTCTTTACTGTTTTCTTCATTCATCAAGCAACTGGGGGGCACTGAGATTTATCCCAGGAATCCCCTTTGTGCCCTTGTTGTGGTGCACGCTTGATGGCAAACTCTCGGACGCAGTGCACTGAGAAGTCCGTTCTAATACTTTGCGACGAACAAGCCAGACGACAACCATCTGAAGCACCCGACTCGTCTGGAAACAAGAGATTGACTGTCAATAACGGATCTGTCGCAAACAAAACCGTGCGGCACTCTGATCATCGTGATAGTTCCTCTTCGAGTGACGCTTCGATCACTTCCCCTTCCTCCAGCCATACATCGATTGACGAGGTAGCTAGCTAGGAAGGGGGCGCCGTAATAAGGGCCAATGTGTCAAATATCTCCGTGTTTTGGGAGAGTCCAAATCTTTGGGCAGTCGGTACAGCCCAACATATACATTTCTATGCATCAGTACCACTAACCTCTGTCTGATAATTTTTCTACTTCCATACCTTTTTGAAAGGCACCGTCCAAGGATTTGTGTTCGTGCCTGTCCCATCGGAAAGGGCTCTTGTCTTGTGTGAAGCGAGGGGCACGCAGCGAGGCTGAGGGCCAGCATCGTCGTCAATCTCCGCCTCCATCACGACGGCTACTGAAGGAGGACAAGCCAAATTTGGAAATAGAAGCGACTAGGCCAGACGCGAAAGACGGGGCGCAAGACTGTGAAGACCTTGGGGAGGACGACTGTGCTCAGCTCTTACCCCGAAAAGATATCTTCACCTGGCAGCAACAACACGATCCGCAGAGAACGCCCCCCTGTATTCCAACCACGGACACGCGGGATCAACAGGAGCAGCCGCCGCGTCAGCCGCCATCGCAGTCGCAAGGGTCTCTCAAGAAGAGGGAAAATCGAAACAATAGCCCCTTAGCTTGCTCCAGTCTTCCGTCCCACACATCTTCGCTTCCCGACCCAGCGAACTTCCCCTTGTCTACAAGCAGTATCTGCACCCAAATCGCTTCCATGGGATTCATCCTCAACGCGCTCACTTACCTGTGGACCGGCGAGTACACGACCTCCGGCAGCACCACCGACCCCTGCGATGACCACAGCCGCAGCAGCAGCCGCGGGGGCAGTCTTTCCAGCTCCACATACTCCATGCGCGGCGGTTCGGTGGACGGCTACAGCTACGGTCCCCCCCCCGGGAAGGGCAACTGGGTGGTGCCGGAGGAAGACGAGCAAGTCGACGCTGCCCATCCCGGGTGCGACCGTTGCCAACGCCGTTCCTGCGGCTTTTCAAAGACAGTCTCAGATATTTACGCGGTGGAACCGCTGGCGATTGAGGAGCTGAGTTTCTTAAGCGTCCTCGGCAAAGGATCGTTTGGGACCGTTGTGCTCTGTCGCCGTCCTCTGTCAATTTCCTCCTCGTCCTCGTCCTCCTTCCCTTCCTCCCCCCCTCGTTTGGCAGGGCTTGGCAGCAGCACCCTCGATCGGGAAGACGCGCCCCTATACGCGATGAAAGTGCTGCGGAAATCCCACCTGGTAGCCAAACACCAAATAGACCGGACGCGTGTGGAGAAAGAAATCATGGACCGGGTCTCTCATCCCTTCATCATGCACATGTACAGTGCTTTCCAGTCGGAGAATTTCCTCTTCATGATGCTGGAGTACTGTCGAGGGGGAGAGCTCCTCTTCCATTTGGCCCGGCGTCGGCGTTTCTGCGAGGCGGCCGCGCGCTTTTACGCCGCCGAATTGGTCTTGGCCCTGGAGTATTTGCACCGGCACGACATCGTCTTTCGGGATTTGAAACCCGAGAACATTCTCCTGGATGCCCACGGCCACGTGCGCCTGGGGGACTTTGGGCTGGCGAAGCGCGGCGTCCGGGAGCCGGATCGGGGCGCCTTGTCCATGTGTGGCACGCCCGAGTACATGGCGCCGGAGGTGTTGACCCAGCAAGCCTACGGCCGTTCGGTCGATTGGTGGTCCTTGGGGATGCTCACGTATGAAATGATGACGGGCTACCCACCATGGTGCGTCGAGAGGGGTGGGAGGAAAAGGATTGCTTCGGTCTCTACCCGCCGACCCCCCGGTGCCTGGCTCCCCATATTTCATTATCCTCCTTATCTGCGGACGCATCCACTCACGAGATTTCTACTCTCCCTCTTTCCCCCTTTTTCCTCCCCGACGCCTCTGTCTCCCCACCCAGGTACACACGGGACCGAAAAAAGCTCGTCCGCCGCGTCAAATTTGCTCCTCTGATGATCCCACCCTCCTTCTCCCCCTCGCTTGCCTCTTTCGTGGAGGCGCTCTTAATTCGCCATCCTTTAAGAAGATTGGGCGGGAAAGGAGGCACGGGGGAGGTGAAGCGGCATGGGTTTTTCCAGCACATCTCCTGGGAAGCTGTCTTGAACAAGAAAGTCATCCCGCCCATCCGGCCCTTTGAGGAAGGACGGAGGGCGGGAGGGAGGTGGAGCACGCAAGACAGCCGTGGGAGCGAAAGCAGCGGGAATTCCGGGACGAGAGGGGAGGGAGGGATGGTGACGTGCCAATCGCCAGTGTGCAAGCTCGAAGGGAGTCGGCATTTGGACCCGACATCCCCCCGTCGCGTGTCCTTCCTGACGTCATCTCTTAACGCAAGCGCGACAGACGCAGGGCGCACGAGCGCGACCAGAAAGGCAGCGGCGGCGTGCCCGCATGAGTTCATCGGCACGGAAAATTTTGAAAAAGAATTCACGGGGTTGGACGTCGCCAGTGCCTTTGAGGTCTTGGAGCCCCTGTCTCCACATTCCAATGCGATTTTTGTCAATTTTAGCACCGAACCCACCATTCGATGCCTGCGGCCGAAGGAGAGGGAAAAAGAGATGGAGGAAGAGGACGATTGTGCCCACCAAGAGATGAGGAGGGAGGAGGAAAGGAGGGCGGCCTTGTCGGGTCTGACACTGGACGGGGGAAGCAGGAAAAATCTAGGTGCCAGTGCGGCATAAATAGCATATTAGAGGGGAGAAAGGAGAGAAGGAGGACGGAAAAGGCGTCTAGAGGCATAATAAAAGTGCCATTCCATGGATGGAGCTGGCTTTGGCCTGAGGAAAAAAAAAGTCTTATCGTACAGGAAGGAAAAACTCAATGGCGCCAATTATCGAAAGGGAAGAGATTCCCCCACAGTTTGACATGTTATGGTCCTTGTGATACACTCCCCCCGAGTTTGAAGCGGGGCTTGCTCAAAGAACAGCGCCGCGGGGCATCCTTGTCATTCCAAAGTGAGAGTACTCTCAGGAAGCACGCCATTCGTAGCGTGGACGCGTGGCGGGGATAAATGTCTTGAACAACGTGTCCTAACGAAAGGTTGAAAAGAGAAAAGCTATGACCGTGCACGCACCCACACATCACGGCCTCGCTGCTGGAAGTCTGACCGCAGTTTTCCGAACAAACATTGCTTTTCAAAAGCCGCTTGATCATCTTTCTTCTTTTGATGTGGAACTTAAACCCTCCCTCGCCGCTCCTCCCTATGTCCCACCCATCCCTTTTCCCTCCTCTTTACATAGAATAGAACCAGTGCTCCTTGTCGGCCTTGGTCACGTGCTTCTTGTAGGCTTCGTCGAAGTCCCGCGCCAAAATCACGTACCGGTTCTTCCTCACGGCCTGAAGACCGGCCTCCTGTAGGCAGGAGAGAGGGAGGACAAGGGGGCGTGAGAGAGGAAGGGGAAGCGAAAAAAATAATCCGCCCGTGCCACACGGCTCTCGCCTCCGTACTCGGTCTCCTCATTTGGGAGAAAACCCTGGACCACAGGCCTCCATATCCCCCAGAATGGTTTCCTTTATTGCTTTCTCCCTCTTGTTCTTCGTGCTTACCTGTGCAATCGCCGCCACGTCCGCCGCACTGATCTTTTCCGGTCGATTTACATAGTCCTCCAGATCCACGTCGTCGCCTGCAGAACGGGGCCAGAAGAGGACAAGAGGAGGAGGAGTTATGGCGCTATCCCCGCTCTTCGAGACACCGGCTTTCAATGCAACCGTCGTTGCCACGCGGACAAAAGGAGAGGGAAAAGGAGAAAGGAAAGAGACAGGAAGCACCTACCCAAATTCATCTTCGCCGTGCACGCCTGGAAAACCATCCGCTTCTGACGCCTGTCGGGGTTGGGAAACTCAATCTTTCGGTCCAGACGACCGGGGCGAAGGAGGGCGGGGTCGAGGGTGTCCGCGCGGTTGGTGGCCATGATGACCTAGGGGAGGAGGGAGGAAAGGAGAGGGAGGGAAGGAAGTGGGAAGAGATAGGATCAAGAACCAAAATAAGAGGCATATAGACACATTTTGGCGCGGTGCGGCTTGTCGTAAAAGCGTTTGCAGACGCAGTAAGCGGCCAGGGGTGCTTCCTCGCGGGAAAGGAATGACAAGGACACGACCGATAAACACCGAGGAGAGAGCAAGAGTGACCCAAAGTAGGGGGCGGGGGTGCCAACAAATTGACGCTGTCCACCTACCTTGACATTCGTGCTCTGGTCGAAGCCGTCCATTTGGTTTAAGAGCTCCAGCAAGATACGCTGGACTTCGCGATCCTGAGAACCCACCAACGAGCCATGAGGAGAAAAAAGGAGTAGCGAGGACCAAGACTCAGAAAGGACGAATAAATAGAAAATTCAAAGCGTACCAGCGTTCAAAAACTTTCTCGCAGCCCCCCCCTGGCCTACCGCGCCGGTCTGGGCATCAAAGCGCTTGGTGGCGATGGCGTCGATCTCGTCGATGAAGACGATGGAGGGAGAGTTCTCACGCGCCAGTCGAAACACGTCCCGGACCATGCGAGGGCCTTCACCTAGGTACTTTTGCACGAACTCGGAGCTGGAAAGGCAGGAAGGGAGGGAGGAGGGGAGCGAGGCAGGAAGAACGGAGGTATGACGTCAGCTCCTTTTGATTTTTTTTTACTCGAACGTTTCCCTGCGTTTCGGATGATAAATCCCTCGCTTCTCAGTCCCTCCTTGCTCTCCCCCTTCCACCCATCCCATCCCCACGTACCCCACCACCGAGATGAAGGAGGCCGTCGTCGCCTGCGCCACTGCCTTGGCCATCATCGTTTTCCCCGTACCTGGGGGGCCGTACATGAGAACACCGCGGGGAGGATCGATCCCGATCTGCTTGTACAGCTCAAAGTGTGTCAGGGGGAGCTCCACGGCCTCCTTGACTTCCTGAGAGAGAGGAAAGGAGAAGGTTGGGAAAAGGGAGAGAAGGGAGGGTCAGAGCACATGTCGTCAGGAGTTTTCCTCGACTGAATTTGCGGGCTTCTATGAAAGGGTTGACCCACAGCGCCCAGTGTGTACGGATAAGCCCTGGAAAATGCTGCGAACACAAACAACACTTTTTATGTTCGTTAAAATAGAGGGACGGATTGCACGCACCTGTTTTTGAATATCCATGCCGCCTATGTCATTGTAGGAAACATCCGGCTTCTCTTGCATGAGTTGAATGGTGCTGTCGCTCTCAGGAGGGAGGATGTCCACCACGGAGTGAGAATGCCGGTGTAGGGCCACCGAGACGTTGGGCTTGAGCTTCTCCCGGTCGAGCGTGGAGAGGATGCGGACGTAGTACGTGGAGCCCGCTGGACGTAGACGGGAAAGAAGAAAAATGAGCGACATGGTCTGTTCCCAGTGAGCGGCGTGTTTCCCTGTCACTTTCTGGCCGCATTCTCACCTGTAGAGCCAACGATGCCGTAATGAGCATCGATCATCTCATTGAACTGACCGATTACCAGGGGCACAGACTGAATCCGCTTCACCTCCTCCTTGGCCCTGTGGAAATGGAAGCGACGGAGGACGTGGAAGAGAATGTGTAAAAGGGGATACACGACATTTCTTCAATTCGTGGCTCTGTCTATGCACGGAAGGCAATGCCATATCGGCTTTTTACTCTCTCTTTGGCCCAGCTGAGTTGCAGGAACAGGGACGAGAAAGGAGACAGGAATGCATGCCCATAAAATCATCTCCAAACCCCTTCGCCGGACTTCCTTCCCTTTTGTCACGCATCTCAATCACCTATTCCCAACATCAATGCCATCGTGCGATACTTCGCCGTTGCCCATATTACAGCGGTCTCTCCGCAGCCAATCCTCCACTTGGTTGCACCTTTCTGGAAACAATCGCAACTCAAAAGCACGCGCTCACAACACATAAGGACTACGCACCGTATCAGCTCTCGCTTCAGATTCTTCATCTCATCCTTGATATACTCCTCTTGGATGTCTACGAACTCCAACTGCCGCTGCAATTGCTTCAGCCGAGTGTACAAATCTTCTTCCTGCTGTTCTTCCTCCTGCTGTAGTTTTAGCATGGTAAGTTAGAATCTAAATCTGTCGCACGCATGGTGGACCCATTATCCGTCCACGATGGAACGCCTCCGCCTCGCTTGCTTTTTAGACTGCTCACCTTCCCAGCCCCACTGTCCACATCCATGTCCATCAATCCTGGTGTCCTCGTCGCCACAGCGACAGAAGCCATGTGCTAATCTTCGCCTTGCGTTTGTCGATGCTGTGGATGGAGATGTGACGACTTTCATGAAACATGCAAGTGTGGTAGCGTGGGATGGGATGACTGACACGGAAGCATGGAGAAGTCTTGGGCGATGCGCCGCATTCCCTCCTAGTACGTCTTTTCCCAGCTGAGGCAAGACACCCGTCGCCTGAGAACGAAAGGTAGACACAGACCATGCTACATACAACGTACACAATGCCGACGCACCAAAACACGCGAGCGCTACTGCACCATCGACGGCGCACGCATGCCATGCTTGTGCACGAAAGCTGGGGGCAGGGCCAACCCGGCTGTCCGTTCCGATCTTCTCGCGGGGAGGCAAATCGCCACAACCCCGAACCTCCTCTCCTGCCGGCTGTACAACCTGCATTTGGACGTAGGTATAGCCCGACTAGGTGTATGCGGCGCTTTGGAGAGACCCACGGACCATTACCATATGGAAATGTGAGAGAGCCATGAATATTGTCCGGCCATTTGTATTTTTTCAGGAGGAAAAATCGGGAACGGATAAACGACGTGACTGCTATGGCAAGTAGTCCAAACCTTCTCCCCCCGGCCTTCCAATTTCATCCCTGATTCGGGTGACACCCTATTTTCACAATCATTCTTGGTTTGTGATGTATAAATATATATGTATTTGTATGATGAGCCCTTTGTAAAATAAGAAAGCTCATTAATCTTTACAATGGGCCAGACATAAATCGTGTGACGACCCATCAAATAAGGCAAACAAGCTATAATGTGCACCATACATCATCTTTATCAAGCAATTTGTACATTGGTGTCAAGCATGAAACACATGCCAAGCCACGCGATATTATTCAAGGCATCCGTCGTTTTCACAGACTTCCTCGTCACAATGACTGTATGATCCACACTCCCGCGCAACATTTGCACAGAATTGCACCCTTTCTTTCATCGCAACCCGATGCCTCGCCGTTACCCTAAAAAGATCATCCATCGATCGAAGAAGCAGGAAAACTTGGAACCTCTCGAGGAAGACTATGAAGTACCTCTTCAGGAGGCTTTTCCCATCAACGCTACCTTGCCGGCCGAAGTGGATGTGCACGCGCACTGCTTTCCTATGCCCCGGTCGGCCGCCTTCCCTGAAGTGACTCTCCTTAATCTCGTGTGGTTCCCAGATCAAGGTGAAAGTCTAGGATCGAATTAGATATCAAATTTGCGGCAAAAATGATAATGGGGATATAGAAATCAGAAAGTATAGAAGAAACCTTCGTACCCTTTACTTGCTGATATTTTCATTATGTAAACTCTTCACTTGAATTCCTGGTACACTAGGATATCCACGTCACTCTGGTATAACACGTGATGACCAAATCTTCACGGCTGCGGACCACCGCCGTGTAACCCTGGCTGCCGAAATGCATGGCGAGGACTTCGAGGCCATTGCGAGGGAGGTGGGGAGACCTCAATGGGCCATAGCGGCCTTTCACGAATGGCAGATGTACTTGTTCGGGGTCTGGTTCATCTACGGAATTGTGGAAGCTGGGCGACAACGAAGGTGGACGGAGGCGGAGATCAAAAGGGCAGTGGGAGAGAACGTCCAGATGCTTTACGATGGAGTATGGTACGTTCTCACGCTATATTTACTTCTTTAGGATTTCAATCTTTTCAAATGAAGAATGCAATACAAGTGCGGTGGTACAGCTGTGTTTGTGCTTGAAAGCTACTGATGATCAGTCTGAAGCGTCTTCTTTATTTCCTTTCTACTTGCCTTCCTTTCGGCTTCAGGGAGGAGAATTTCGCGGCTCCATTGATAAAGGCTCACCTCATCGAGCAGACAAGAAACAAAGAGCGAGGACGAGTTGCTGGACGGTTTGTTGTGGAGCACGCCGAGAATGTAGGAAGGAGAAAGGAAAACGAGGACCCCAAGAAGAAGGGAGAAGAAGGGGTGAAAGAATCAGTGCAGGGGGAAGGGGAAGGGGAGGAAGACAGCGAGAGCGACAGCGTTAGTGAAAATGAACAAGGTAGTGAGGGGGCTAGCGAGAAGGGAACTTGGTCAGACTCTGTGCATGCAGGAGGTGCAGTGCCGATAGAAGGAGAAGGTCATGGGAGGAAGGGGGAGGTGTGCCATCCGCAGGCCTCCTCAAGCTCAGCTTCCCGTACACTGTCAGGGACGTCAAGGATTCAGGGGCGTCTCTTCCACAGGAAGAAGCAGACAGGCGCTGAAGCGGACAACAGGGGAGAAAAGGGGAAGAATGGGGTGCAGGAGACGACGTTCGGCGCACGGGCGACACAAAAAGTGGTGGTGGCGACCATAGAAGGCGCGGATGAGCAAGTAGGGACATCAGACATGATCGGTGTGACATGGAGAAAGGGATCTTGGGAGGCTCAATCTGCATCTTACCGTAAGAATGTCTTTCACTTCCGGAGTGATCGTTTGCAAGAGGCCGCTATGAGCATCGATGGGTACAACCGTTGCGTTTACGGCGACAACGCCACGTGCAATTTCACCATCGACGGCCGTTTTTTCCTGTTTCCTTTTGGAGGATCGAATGCCGGCAAGTATGTCCTTCATCAAGGTAGGCAAAGCAACTTGACGAATATGCCCCCTCATGACCTGGCTTTGGTGCGCCACGGCATTTACAACCTCGAGCAGTGGACAATGTACCAGGAAACTGGCACCCTGATGGCCTACGCAGATACCGAAGAAGGGATGAGAATGAAGCTCGACCACGTGCAAGTACTCCTTGCGAAACAGGGGCGAACCGGTGCTCCCCTCGGTGTCGTGCCGGGTTCGTTGCTGGCGCCGGAGGGGGAACAAGAAGAAAAGGACGAGGAGGGGGAAGAAAGCGCTGGGAGCGATGGGGCGTTGGATAATGATAGAGCAGAGGAGGATGAGTGGGAAACAGAGTTCGAGAAGGAAGACGAGAGCAGTGGAGGAGAGAGCGATGAATGGGAACCGTATCACTCCTCTGTACCCTCCTTTCCTCTGCCCTCCCTCCCTTCGGCTCCGCTGCTCCCCGCCTCCTCACCCATGCAGAAAAAGTACATGGAATAAATAGACTAAAAATCAAGAAAATGGCATCCGTAGCCAGAGACGGTGTTGAAATGAGGTAAAAGAATGGCCGAATAGCTTGTGAAAATAGCAGGCTGGCGGCTGCAATATCGATAGAGAAATGAGAAAGGCAAAATGTCGAGAGGAAATGAAGCCGAGTTCGGCAGTAGAAAGCGCAAAGAGAAAATAGAAGCACATTACAAGGACGGAAAGAAGAAGGAAAGCAGCAAAATATCAATAGAGGGGTTTCCGCCTGGTCGGGGTTTTTGTGTGTTGATTTCTCGGTAAGTTGAGGCGTCGGTTCAACGGCTCGGTTGACATAGCCGTTGTGAAAAACGTACTCAGTTTCGAATGTCGAATGTTTTCACCATGTCATATTGTAGATGAGGTGAATCGAATCAAATCTTCTCAATCTATTTTGCAATTGAAGCTTGTTTCGCTTGATATTTCAAGCTTCCAGCCTAATAAGTGTCTTTCGTGACACTTGGCGCAACGATGAAGGATTTACGACAGACCATTGCGCACTGATCGTTTTATTTACCATTCATCGTCGTAATGTTCTTATAAAACCCTCCTTATTGACCTCAAAAGGGTTGGTGTAGAGCCTAATTTAGAAAAACCTTTGCCTATGTGCAAATTTCCTCCGACATGACCAGAGTTAAACTGTTTTTCTGACTAAATTTTATTGTTCTGTACGTTTTTTTACAGGCTTAATTCTCGCTATCAACCCCCATATCTAGCAATGTTTACTAACAAGGCTGCAAGCATGCTTGCTATTGCGACGTTGCTCACAACTTCTCTGGTAACAGGCCAGGGTACAGCTCGAAGCGTTTCGAAAGGTGAGTAGAACTGTTCAGAATAATAATCTTCTGACTGACTGTATCTCCTTACGGAAGGAGATAGAGGCCTTCAAATGCACAAATTCTTCTCATTTCCATTTTAATCCCTCATTAATCGGAACTCTGGCTACAGCAACACTCAAACAGATCCGACCTCCCATCCTCGGTAACCCGCTTAAGGGTATGGCATTCAGTGCCTTCGTCCATTACAAGGAATTGGATGGCCCTCGTGAGTTTACGTACAACGGAACGGACTTCACTACGTTCTTGTTCAATAAACCCATGTATTCCAGCCCTGACGATAACACTTAATCTATTGGAAGAGCACTGTAAGTTAACTTTCTTTCATTGACTAGATAAGAAATGCACGAAGTCTTTCGGATGAATGTTGCGTATTACCATACTCTCCCTACTTGCGATAACAATTTTGTATGGAAAAACAGGTACAACGTCGAGATCTTCGATGAGGTGGTTGGTAGGGGGGTGCCCGGCAAAGCCTCAGCTATTTACCAGTCCACGCAATTCTATCCCGTCACGGACAAGAAAGGAAAGGTCCGCAATATCACCATCTCCCTCGTGGGTCGGGTCGAGTATACCCTCCTCCCTGGCCAGAGGTTTCCAGCCAATACCGGCAGCAAGATCCTTTCCATCGCCGTCACGTCCCTCGAAACGGCTGGTCTGTCGTGCACGCGCGTGGGCATCAACCCCGCCCCCGTATCGGACTTCACGGAGTACGTGATCGATGCCCGCAAGGCCACTTGTGTGCGACAGTCGATTATGTCTCGGCAGTAGCCTCAAGGCAGGGCCTTTGTAGCGCCAATATGCCTACACGTGTGTGTCCCCTTATTCTCTCAGGGGGAAGCTTAGTTATTAGTAAATAATTATGTACCGTAGAATAAGTCCATGATTTGTCCCAATTATGTTCTGTGTTTGTGCCGTGGTGAATGCCGAATAAGGTCATTGTGTACGAATGAAAGCGTACCTGCTTGGAGAAGGGGGGAGACCTTTTGGTCGCGTTCCCTTTGTCCCTTGATCTGTCCAGATCATGTCATGTGTATGTGAAAATTTATTCATAGGTTTATATCGCCGGGTCTTGTTGTCAGTGTACCTCGTATGTGGGGAATTCTTCGGACGATTTCCTCTTGAG